ACATTCATGCACCTCAACCCCTACACCAACAGTTGTAGTCGATGGAGGACACGTAGCCAGACAGAACAGCACTGTATATTGAATGGCGCGATCGGCCATGTGACGAGGGCGAAGCGCAGACGACCGCATACACGCGATGACGCGGAACACAAAGAGGGGATGTCGAAGCTCAGTCGACTGACGCGATGGCGGGGGGAAATCGAGACGCCCGCTCTCGGAGACACGAGGCGCAACAGCGGATTTTGCGCAGGCGATGGAGGAAGTCGCTTACATGGCGTCGCGCGGACCAGCTCGTCGGGCAGAAGACGCAAATGGGCAGCACCAAACCCCACTCAGATGCTCATCTGTCGTCTCGCCCCACGCCAGGTTCGAAAATGCACGTCGGACGCCCACTTAGGAAGTGCCACAGACACCATGTTAGAAGACGCACTTTGGCCGTCCGATCCGCAAATCGGATGGCCAGAATGCGACTTCACAACGTGCACTGCGGAAAACCGGGCACAACCGCCTCCGAACACCCGCCCCCTCCCAAAAAAAAACCTCCAGACGCATACCGAAAAACACCCCCCCCCGCGCAGCCCGAAAACCCCTTTCGCAGGGCCCGCGAACGCGAACACAAGAACGCAAGGGGCCAGGGACGACCGCCCTTTTCCATTACGCTCGGGAAGGCCCTGTTCGAAGGGACTTTTTTTTGCCATGTCGCGCGCACCGGGTCCCCCCTAGCGGGAAATTTGACGATGTGGCCACCGTTCGATGCGTGTAACGACGTGTGGCCAACCTTTCGCRGCGTCAAACGGACCCTGCAAGGCACTCCGAAATGGAAGACCCGAAGGGGACCCGACCCACGCGCGCCTACAAATACGAGCGGCGCCCGGGGCGTGAACGCCTCTTTCTGCGTTTTTTGCTGGGTAGATGCTGTCGGACGGACGCCTCGCGCCACCATTGTCGTCAACACCATCGCCCCTCACAGCTGGAGCACCATAGGTAGCGAAGCGAACGGACAGCTGTTCTAAACCCTGGTCGCTACCTTTTCTACGACGCATCTCTCCACCTCCCTAGTCGCTGCCCGCGTCATCTTCGACATCGCGCGTCGACATCCCGTCGACTCAACGACGACATCTCGATTCTGGATTAGCGCATCCGACGCTCCACGCATTCCCATCGCCAACACAAAGCGTGCAGCACAAGGTCGCAGCATTCCTGTCTCGATCGACGACGGGATCCGCACGCATCTTCACTCGACACTCTCACAAGGTGAGTGCGCACGAACCCGGGACGTGTGTGTTTATGTGAGCGCTTGTGGGCRGCTTTTCTGCTGACACATCAACGCTGTTTGGACGAGTGGGTGTTTGCATGTGCGCGTGCGGTTGTGTTTGTGTTTGCTTGTGCATGACGAGTGTGTGTTTGCATGTGCGCGTGCGGTTGTGTTTGTGTTTGCTTGTGCGTGACGAGTGTGTCTTTGCATGTGCGCGTGCGGTTGATAGTGTGTCGGAGTGTTTTTTTTTTCGGGTTTGCGTATGTAGTGTCTCTACGTGAGGGGCGTGTTTGTGTACGCGGCGTGTGTGCTCGTGTGTGTGCGTGTGTGTGTGCAAGTGTCTGTTCGTGCGGGTGTGTGTTGTTTCGCCGATTGAACGCGCGGAGGTTGTCGCCAAGGTGTGCGGCCATGGTTGAATGAATTGTTTCGCATCCCGAGGGTACTCCTGCTGTATTCTGGCGTTGAGCGACGTGCG